AAAAAACTTTTGGAACTAATAGAATATTTGTAGTTCAGGGTTGAAATGAGGTACTCTGAGCTTGTTTGTTTTCTTGTAGATGTTTCATTAGCGAAAATAGGTAGTATCATCAGTAATTGTTTTCAGCGTTAACTCTCAATGATGTAACTGGCAGTGATATTGTTGCCTAGTTTGGCTAATGAAATGTCTGGAAGAAAACAAATAAGCTCAGAGAGCACACTCTTGAAATTGATTGTCCTGATACTAAAGAAAGTTAAAAGACTCAAGAGCGCCACCTGATGATACAGGAAAACTTTAGTACGTTCTAAAAAGAGTGTCTGGTCTTTTTGAGAGTTTGGACTTTGGAACTTAAAAGAAAATAAAAGGAACTTTAATATTGTCATAGAATAACCCAGTAATTTGGGAAACAGTTGGGAAAGGGCCAATTAGAAGACCCGGAATTAAGACTCAAGAGCATGAATTGTTGAAAATAAACCCAAAAGATATTGGCTGAAATAATATATTGGACTCTGGGATTGAATATATCTATTGAAGAAGAGGATTTCAGCTATTAAGGAAGAGAGAAGATATAATGGAGGAGCTACTTGTTGATATAAGACTGGACTTACAAGACATACGATCGGACATGCAAGATACAAGGGACATGATGAAAATTAAACTTGAAATGTGTAATTATGTACTACAGAAATTGGAAATGGTGACTCAGCATACACAAGAAAACAATAAACCAGAGGGGGAGGAGTTCTATAAAGAATAAGCCAACTTAAGAAGGACAAAACAAACAACAATTATTTAAGCGGGGGGGGGGGGGGAATTAGAATTAAAAATGTGTGGTCTGATGGGATGATAAAAGGGAGAATGGTTTGGAAAATGGTTAAAGAGAGAGGGAAAAAACAGAAAAAGGAAGTGCAAAAGAAAAATCAAAAGAGGGAGAGAGAAAAGTTTAATAACTGGAAGGAGAAAAGGAGGGGAACTAGAATGGGGAAAAAGGGAATTAAGAGAAAGGACCAGAAAATAAAGAGGAACAGGAAACAAACAAGGATGAAAAGAAGGTACATTGTCCAAAGAATGAGAGATAATGGGTGAAAAAATAAGGGATAAGGAAGGGGATTCCGCAAGGTAATATGTTGTGATGTATAAGAATATATTGAAAATAATATTATGTAATGTATAGATGATTTATAGAGAAAATATAATGCAGAATCTGAGAAATATATATATATATATTTGTGTTTTATACTAGATAGGGAGATTGATATTAAGGAAGAATGAAGGTGGTTAGCTCGAATTACTAACTAGAGGGGACAATTATTGATAAAATGATTGATAAAATGATTGATAAAATGACAAATGTGACAGAAAAAAATAATAATAATATGAGAAATGACAATAGAAAGATGAGAATCTTAGATAACATTGTAAAATAAGATATGAGAATATACTAAGAAAAATGGAAGGAGATATAATAGGATTTGGAATTGAATAAAGATAACATTGTAAAACAAGATATGGGAACATGAATTGGGATTGAATAAGATAAGCTTAATATTTAATAAATGATAAGGATGATGCAATATGAAATTAAACAAATAATATGAATAGGTAACTATGGTCATGTTTGTATTGTGATGTGAAACCTGAAACCACACTGCTTGCCAAATGAGAATTTTTTATTTAAAAAATAAAATGAAAACAGGAAGGAAATTGAATAATGGAATTATTAGGTATGTTTAATTGATATGGTGATAGGCATTTGGAGAGAGTAATGTTGAAAACAAATATTGAAGAATTATGAATTAATATGAATAAGTGCATTTTTAACAACATCAGTGGAATTGTAGTTTCAAATAATAGAAAGAATAATGGTTCCGTTTTATTCTTTGGCCTATTCTGGTCACTGTAGTTTTCAAACAGTTAAAGGGGAAGAGAGTCAAATAATAAGAGAGCTATAAACTATGCCCCATGAAGGAGCTGAACCTGTTTAGACTTGAAAAGACTGAGGGAAGATTGAAAACACTTTTTAGGTAGCTGACAGTAACATTTTAAGACCCATTCTTATCGCAAGTCAAGAATAATGGATTCAAGCTGTAAGAAGCCAGGTTCTGACTAAATATTAGAAACAGTAATAGTTCAATATGAAAGCAATTTCCATCAGATGTGTTTTATAAGAAACCAGACAACTGTGCCAGGGATGCTTTAAGGCAGATTCCTGCACTGAGTGGGGTGGGACTTGATGGTCTAAAGACCTTTTCAACCCCTGCAAATCAGGGGTCTTCAAACTTGACAGCATTAAGACTTGTGGACTTCAACTCCCAGAATTCCTGAGCTAACATGACTGGAGGAGGAATTCTGGGAGTTGAAGTCCACAAGTCAAACTTGCCAAGTTTGAAGACCCTTGATGTAAATGAAGGAATGCATTGCCCTGGTTCAGTCCTTAAGAATGGGTAGAAATGAATTCTGATTTGCATATTTATTGTATGAATAAATAGTTCACACACCTAAGTTATTGCATATTTATTCTTACAGATTAAAGTTTCAGTCGATGATTCACCAGTCCAAAACTACACTATCTATCTCATTGTTGATGTTGATGATGTGCTGACCCACATTACATATATCACAGATGAGAATGGTATTGCCTACTTCTCTCTGAATACAACTGCCTGGAACAACACCATGGTTTCTATAAAGGCGAGTTGACACAAATAAATAGGGATTTTGCCAAGCATCACAGTGTCTAGTCCCATGTTAACATTGTAGTTTAGTTATTCCACTGGCATGAAAATGTTCATACTCCCAATATCAAATACAACAAAAATGGATGAAAAGATTTAAATTCTGAAGTTGCAATAGTTAGATTGTAATTAAAACGTGTGTGGGGCATGCAGTAGTTAAATAAAGTGTGAATTATTCAGGTTGGGCAAGACATATGTGTCTAACCCTTGTGAGGAAATGAGTTCAATTTTGACAACATTAGACTTTCTTCAACTTTTTTTAGAAAATAAGGGGACATCTTAGCCAATGTATGCACTCTTTTATGGGTCTAAATATTGTCACAGTTGGGCTTCTTAGTACTTGTAAATAATGCTTAGCGACTACTTCAGGCAGTGACTTTTCAAAGTTACAGTGGTAATGAAAACTGCAACTGTGCCCACATTTATGACCTTCATAGCATCTCCTTCTCTCTGTCATGTGTATGCCATTACAGTCAAATAAATGTACAGTGGCTTGTGCCTGACATATTTTTTTTCCTCCATGCCTCCCAGACAAGCTGAGTTTGCAGTGTTTTGCTGACACTAAATTAAGAAGCTCAGCTATCTGACTTTAATTAGCCAGCTGATAGTTGCTGCCTGTAACTGACAAGATTAATCAGTTTCACATCTTTGGTTTTTTGTTTGCCTTCGAAACAAAGAGTGGGGCTTGCTGGGGCCAGCTCATTTCTTTCAAAATATATTTCCCATTGTGTGCCTGCTTGTAATGTCTTTCTTTCCAATAAATGTAAATACAAACTTTAATTTCCTTGCTAATTATCCCAGCACTGGGGTGAGCATTACAAAAGGCAAGCAAGTGGGAGGAAAGGAAAGCTAAGGTAAAATCTTGTGTCATGGTTAATGACCATGTCTTTTGGTAACCAAATTGAGACTCCCAATTATGCTTGCTAACCAAGGACTCTCTGTAATTGAAATATCTTAAATATCAGAGGTAGTATTCAGCAGGTTCTGACCAGTTCTAGAGAACTGGTAGCGGAAATTTTGAGTAGTTCGGAGAACCAGCAAATACCACCTCTGACTGGAGATGTTACAGTATCCTTCCCCCGCCACGCCCACCAAGCCACGCCCACAGAACTGGTAGTAAAAAAAAATTTGAATCCTACCACTGTTAAATATGTTTGAAAATTGGTTTAACTTTATAGCGTTGACCTATTTTGACATATTAACCGTCTAGTTTTCTCTTGTCGAACCATCCTAAACATCACTCTAAAATATGCTTGAACACTGATAATTCCCATTGTTGTGGTGCCTTTTCCTTATAGGCAACATACACAATTGGGAATAAAACTGAAGAACAGATTGCTCGGATGTCAGACTTTGAAGATTATAAGTGGCTGAAGCCCTTCTACTCAGAGAGTAACAGTTTCCTTGAGATTCAGCATGTTGAAGAGGAGCTGCCCTGTGGAAAGGATCAGGAAGTATTGGTAGATTATATCCTTGACCAGAAAGAGCTGGGCCCTGAGGCTGACCATATAGATTTTTATTACTTGGTGAGCATATAACTGTGGAAAGGTTAACAGATGTCTATGAGAAAATAATAGAAAACAACAAAAATAAAAAGGGAGAAATAAAATACTAATACAGGCAATTCCTGAAAAGAAGAAAGAAAAGGGAAATTCTAAACTAAGTAGGATGAGAGAGTAAGACATAAGAACTAAATTGAAAATTGTTTCCTGAGATAATGACATTTCTGTATCTTATGTTGATGGCATGGCGCACTGTATGAAGTCACATTACAACATTACAGCAGTAACTGTAACAAACTCGCAGTACATGGGGAGCTTCTCTGTGAAGACTTTCAGAGGAAAATCATAAGGGAGAATTCATACCTGGAGTTATTTAAATTTTCAGAAGAAAAAACTTGTAGCTTCAGTTATGTAATATGTTATTTAAAAAAAATACAGGGTTATTCCTTTCCTCTTGTTACAGGTCTTCTATAACAACATCTTTGATGCTGTTCCTTCTATCCTAAATCATTGCATGTCATTTTCTTTCTGTGTGCAGAGTTTTGTATAGGTAATAATTTAGTACGTCTTTTAGCTTGTATCAAAAGGAAAGATTGTTTCCAGTGGACAGAAGCAAGTGCCTGTTGGCCAGGATGAGAGTAAGTGTACAATTATGTTGTTGCAATGCACCTAAAGTCCATTTCTGTTATACAAAATCCTGTTCTATCTAGTTAGTGTTTATTTCAGGTTTAATTTATTTTGTTTTCATTTCACAAAGCTAAATCTAGACAGCATCTCAAATGGAATATATACAGGAATAATCATGTGAAGCAAATGAGCCTATATAAATTGTGATATCGATTTGTAGGAAATACTCTGGATTTTTCAATGTTTGTCCCCTTCACAAACTTTCCCCAGTAATTATTATTTATTTGCATCCCACCTTTATCATTTTTATAAATAACTCAAGGCACACTTTCCTCTTTCTATTTTCCCTACAACAGCCCTGTGAGATTAGTTGGGCTAAGAGAATGTAACTGGCCCAAAGTCACCCGGTTGGCTTTCATGGCTAAGGTAAAACTTGAATTTATGGCCTCCTGCTTTCTAGGCTTTAACCACTAAACCAAACTGGCTCTTAAACTTTCCCATTAATAACGGGAAAAGGGATTCTCCCAAAATTATTGGAGTGCTATTTGAGGAGAGAGCAGTGTTAGATGAAATTCCACAGTTTGCTGAGTAGGACAACACATTTTCACCAATCTTGAAGTCAGAAGAAAACATATTTTCTTTGTATATTCAGTTTGAAAAAAACATAGAAACATATACTTAATTCAGCTTCTGATATTGCCACAGAAGGTAACTTCTGATCAAAATGCATTATGCGATTATTCAGATTTTTGTTCAGTCTTTTCTATAAAGAAAATTGTGAAAGAGTTATTGAGAAAAGGGAGGAAAGCTAATAGAGAAAGCAGCAAAATAAATTTATATAAAATTCTGTGAATAAGGCTGCTTATAGCTCCATAAAAGTATCTTTGGAAGCAGCCTTCAGTTATATTGTTGCTTTGACAACATAAGTTTTATAGCTGATGTCTTGTTACCTACAAAAACTTTTTATATATACTTTTTAAAGTATACATATCTAAGTTACATCCAGTTTTAGAGAAAAAGAACTGCAGACTGTTTCACCTCTGTCTTTCTTTTTATAATTGGATTTGGAAAAAAGTTCCAAATCCAAACCTTGCACTTTGTGACAAATTGTAAAATTGGGTTAAGTGTTATAATAAGCATTAAGATAATATAATATGACATGCATCTTTAATGTTAGTGTAACATTAATATTATATTACATTAATATTAAAAACGCATAGCCTGTTTAGATATAACACTAAATTTATAACTTAGATTTGATTTGTTCTATAATAATCATGCACATATTTTTTTTCACTTTTAGAAACTAAATATATTTCTGAAAATATACAGACTAAGCTAGTTCATCATAATGATGATGATACAGATAGAACATATATTCCAGAGCATTTGCTTTTTAAACTGCTACAACAGGGATCCCCAATCTCTGGGCCGCAGACCACTACTGGGCTGTGACCTATTCGCAACTGTTGGGCCACTAAGCCGCAAAGGTTAGAGATCACTCTGCTACAGCCTGGGCTCAGTAGTGGTTTGCAAGATTAAGATGAATTGCCATAATTTTGACAGATGGACTAAATGGACTTCATTAGATTTATCTTGAAATAGACTCAGATTTATTTGGAAACTCTTCAGAATTGGCAAGAAATTGGTTACACTAACAAAGCAGAGGGTGAGAAGTTTTATAAACTTTTATTTCCTTGAATAGTAGTACATAATTATGAATGTCATAGTGCAGACATAATTTTTCTTTCTTTGGCTTTCTTTTTCCACTACCCTTTCCTCCCCCTGACCAGCACTCAAAGGCACCTTCTCTCTTATCCTGACTCCCAGCTCTAAGCTGGCACCCTCTGCCAAGCTTTTGTTGTTTGCAGTTTTCGCTGATGGTGAAGTGGCAGCTGATGTTGATGTGTTCACAATAAACATGTGCTTCGAACATAAGGTTTGTGAGAAAGTAAGAGGGGCAGAGCAAAGAATGTGCACTCACACATCACACAAAGTCATAGGATATTAAAGCATGTGTGCTGCCATTTGTCCCCATTATACTTTCCTCATTGTGCATAAAGTGAAGTAGGTAGGAGAGAAAACGGGAGTGATAACATGTGCTTGTTATCCACAACTTTTACCTTAGAAATATAGTATATCACAGGCAGCTCAGAAACAAACCCAATGAAAACAGTAAAACAATCATCTTGCTTCCTTCCATCAAGGCAATTCTATCTTCCTAATTTATTGTTTTTTTTTTGTCCCCAACCACTTTGAACTTGGTTTCATTCACCCATTATTTTATCTTCTAAAATATACGGCTAGATAGTAAAGCCTAGCTTTTTACTTGGCAGAATTCCAGCTTCCAAATTAAAATGCAGTTATTTTAAATGAAGTTGGAAACTACAGGAAACTTGTAAGGCAAGGGTCTTCAAACTTGGCAAGTTTAAAACTTGTGGACTTCAACTCCCAGAATTCCTGAGCTAACATGACTGGAGGAGGAATTCTGGGAGTTGAAGTCCACAGGTCTTCAAGCTGTCAAGTTTGAAGACCCCTGCTGTAAGGGATCAGATAGAGTGTCTATATGCTTGTTAGTAGATACAGACTTCCTTCTGGGAACCATAGGCAACATTGAACACGGTTATCGTGTCCAATATTTATGATCTTTTTTTTCCTTCCCCATGATTGTTCATGTTTCTATAGTATACTTTCTTTAGTCTACTCTCCACTGTCAACATGGATCTCCCTTGTAATAAAAATCTCCCTCTCTTCTTTCTTCATCAAAGGTGAAGTTGGGGTTCTCATCAGAGGAAGAGCTTCCAGGGTCAAAGGTCAATCTGCAGATAGAAGCTGCCCCTGGTGCATTCTGCTCTGTCCAGGCTGTGGACAAGAGTGTCCTCTTGAAGAGGAACTTAACTCTGACACCATTAACAGTAAGGAAAAATGTCCTTCTAAAGGATAAGTTATACTTTTTTTCCTCATGCTCTGTTACTAACTTGTTATCTTTTATGGCTGGTAGATGATGGATTTCATAATTTATCTGTTTGCTCCATTTAAAAAAATAGCAATATCACTGCAAAATAATCTTGATTAATGTGTTTTATAGTATCTGAGTACTTAAACTTTTTTTAAGATTATGATTTTATTAGGATACATAAAGTATACTATACTCTAGTAGACTATAAAAATTCTTTACACTAACTCTATATGATTCTACTTTATTACTACTGAATATACCATGTTTCTCAGAAAATAAGGCCAGGCCTTATTTTCTTTTGACTCCCCCAAAAACGGCTAGGTTGTCTTTTCGGGGGTGACTTAATTTCTCCCTCCCCCCGCACCCTCACCTAGAGCGCCCCATGGGCAACTACGCCTCGCCACCAGCTGCTCCTAACGGCCGATCATGGTGGAGCATGGAGAGCTCCCTATCCCCGCCAAGCGCCTTTGCTGCAGACCCGGGTAAGGTGCTGGGTGCAGGCTGGGTCAGCGGGCAGGTGGTGGCGGTGGCGTGGATGTCAGCCTCGGTGGCGGTGGGGCACTTTGCATCGCGCCTGCCACTGTTACTTTCCCTTCTGCCCATGCGCTGCTGCGTTTGGAGTGCTGCACATTCCTCCACTGGCAGTGTTTCAGCGGCTTCTCGGGCAGGGAAGCTGTAGCTTCCATGGTTCACGCCGGCGCTGGCGCCTCTCTCGCCAGCGCCATCTCCAACAACAGTAGCAGTGGTGAGACAGACCCTGCTGCCGACGAGAATCGCCTGCCCTCCCGTAGGGGCATCACTTTGATTGACGGCAGCTGCGTCGACAAGGTCCTGCAAGTCGGTGAGTCTTTCAGGGTTGGGTGGGTGGAAGCGGCGGCAGGAGGGTGATGCCATCGTTTCTCTCCCCCCACGCCTCGCTTTGCTTCCTGCCCCAGAGCTTTGGGTCATGGTCTTGTCCTTTGTATGGTCAGGCGCTCTCCTCTTGCTCCAGTCACACGAAACCCCCCCCCCCGCGGACCCTTCCCCCCCTCTTTAAGTTTTCTTTACTCTCATTCCCTCCGTCAGTTCCCTAAGAATACAGACTGGCCGGGCAGCTTCCTCCCCACCCCTCCCGGTAGTTTTAACAAGGGAACCATCTATCCACTTTGCCCTTCGAACAGAGGCAAACCTTCCAATCCAAACAGAAGAGAAAGGGAATCATCCTACAGACCCTTAGCACCAAGCTTCTCAGAGGATTCTCCCAAAAGATCCACCCTAAAGGAGGATTCACCTCTATTGAGGTAATTCCCTGTTAGGAGAATGAGCGCATACAGGGAGATGTATTTGAGAGAAGTGTTTGAATAATACACACACAGTACACAGATACACTGTACAGTAAATGTAGGTTTTTACTTCCAGAAAGTTTAAGCAAAGTTCAAGATAAGCAGTCCAAAAGTCATTCACAGTCAGTTTTTCAATCTAGGGATAATCCAATAACAAATTCCAGTGTCAAAAACAGTTCAGTATCAGACTTACATCAAATCCAGAAATAGCAGTCGATTAGGAAAAATGGAAGAATGGCAATACTTTCCAACAGAAGGAAACAGAGACTTACTCACACTCTCTTCTGAGACTCAGACTAAAACTCAGACAACCCAGGTTTCTGGCTCCATCTTATGGCCGTTTGAGTAACCACACCCAATTGCAGTTTTTAGTATGCTCTTAAAGAGACAGTATTAAAATGTCTACCCTGGTTTATATATTTCCATCCCAAATAGCTGTTAGATTACTTACATTCCTAACAACCCCCTTAAATGCACTCCCCTCCTTTGAGGTGAATCCTCTGATGAATCCTCCTTTGGGTTCTCCCCCAAAGGAGGACTCATCAGAGGATTCACCCCAAAGGAGGGGAGTGCATGTAAGGGGGTGAATACTCCTTTGGGGTGGATCCTTTGGGAGAACTCTAAAGGAGGATTCATCAGAGGATTCCCCCCAAAGGACAACACCATGACCTGAAGCTCTGGGGTGGAAAGCAAAGCGAGGCGTGGGGGGGAGAGAAACGATGGCATCACCCTCCTGCCGCCGCTTCCACCCACCCAACCCCAAAAGACTCACCAACTTGCAGGACCTTGTTGATGCAGCTGCTGTCAATCAAAGTGATGCTCCTACAGGAGGGCAGGCGGTTCTCGTCGGCAGCGGTGTCTGTCTCACCGCTGCTGCTGTTGGAGACAGCGCTCGCGCCTCTCTGGAACTGTGGAAGCTACAGCTTCCCCCGCCCAAGAAGCCGCTGAAGCGCTGCCGGTGGAAGAATATGCAGCACTCCAAATGTGGCAGTGCACAGGTAGAAGGGAAAGCAACAGCAGCAGGCACAATGCAAAGTGCCCCACCGCCACCCGCCCGCTAACCCGGTCTGCACCCAGCACCATACCCGGGTCGGCAGCAAAGGCGCTTGGGGATAGGGAGCTCTCCGCGCTCTGCCATGATCAGCCGTTAGGAGTGGCTGGTGGCAAGGCGTAGCTGCCCGCGGGGTGCTCCTAACGGCCTGTTCCTCCCCCCAATTTCTCATGTTTTAAACTAGGCCTAAATTTGGGGGGAGGGGCTTAATTTCTCCTTATGCCTAGAAAACATGCTGGGTCTTCCTATTGCGAGGGGCTGTATTGTTGGAGGAACACGGTAGTTGTATTATTATTCATTGCAGCCATTTTTTGTCCCTAGGTATACACTGCTTCTTTAACCTATTGGCTTGATTTAATAGTAGAAGGATTTCACTATCGCATGGAAGATTTTGAACCTTATCCTTGCTTGCCCCCTCCGGATCTTAAACAAGGGAAAAATCAGCCTTCCAGGGTAGCTCCCTGGTATCAAAGAGAAGCTGATGTTTATAGCCTGTTCAAGGTGCGTAGCCTCTTCTCTTGAACCCAATGAACAAGAAAACTGTGTTACTCATTTCCATGAGCTATTAGCATCGGCAAATGTTCCAAACTTCAGTGACAAAAAAAATGACAAAGTGATTTCATGATGCAAAGTCTGGTAAGTCTCAATATTAGAAACAGGTATGAAACTCATAGAGCTTGTGTTGTAAAATAGCAGTACACATTTTAACATTCATCCCTACCTCTTTTCAAGTGACTAGGGCTACTGGAGAAGCTATAAAATTTATTAATAACTACCCATACAGTATGCATTTTTCTACCTTTTCCCTACGTTTCTGGATAAAATCAAATACTTTTGGTTTCCTATTTTTTCATTTATAAGCATCTTCAAGATAGTTTAACAACAAAGATTCAAATTATTACCTTGTGTGCTTATATTATTATCTAGAAATATTTTAAATATGTGGCATTTGTTTTTGTTTTTTTGTTTGTTTCAATTTGGTGTTTTCCTTTGAGTTCTTTAAAGGTAAAGGAGAGAAAGAAAAGAGGCTTAACAACAACATGAAATTAATTTCATTAATTTAATTTTATAGTTTAATTACAGCCTAAAACTTATAGTGCTCATTTTTATGTACCCTTATACTCTTGGTTTTATTAAGGAAAAGATGTCCAGTCAAGCTCAGTTCTTGGGGGGTTGTATCCATGCTTTGTTTCTTGATAATGCTAGAGAACCTTGGTCCCCATTCTTTGCAGCTTGGTGGCCCGGCTTGGGGGAGAGGGGACCTGGGCCATTTGAGTGGCAGGCCTGTGCACACACACACACACAGCTCTTGCACAAGTGGTGGACCAGCATGCAGCTCAACTTGCATGAGTGGCAGGCCGGCGCACCATGAGTGCCTGCTAGCTTGCTGCTTACACAAGTTGAGTTGCGCATGTGCATGCTCCAGCCAGCCACTCACACACAGCCCAATTCCAAATAGGCCATGGCTTGGTAGTGGGCTGCAGCCTAGGGGTTGGGGACCCATACTATAGAAGTAGTTTATTGTTGCCTTTTCCTTTTTGACTTCCCCTGGAACTAACCATCTGGAATTTCAAAGGGATCTCCCATTCAAATTCTTCTGAGGCTAGCTGTGTTAATTATACAGGTGAAACTCGAAAAATTAGAATATCGTGCAAAAGTTCATTTGTTTCAGTAATGCAACTTAAAAGGTGAAACTAATAAATGAGATAGACTCATTACATGCAAAGCAAGATAGTTCAAGCCATGATGTGTCATAATTGTGATGATTATGGCTTACAGCTCATGAAAACCCCAAATCCACAATCTCAGAAAATTAGAATATTACATGCAATCAATAAAACAAGGATTGTACATAGAGAACAATATCGGACCTCTGAAAAGTATAAGTATGCATATGTACTCAGTACTTGGTTTGGGCCCCTTTTGCAGCAATTACTGCCTCAATGCGGCGTGACATGGAAGTTATCAGCCTATGGCACTGCTGAGGTGTTATGGAAGACCAGGATGCTTCAATAGCGGCCTTCAGCTCTTCTGCATTGTTCGGTCTCATGTCTCTCATCTTTCTCTTGGCAATGCCCCATAGATTCTCTATGGGGTTCAGGTCAGGCGAGTTTGCTGGCCAATGAAGCACAGTAATCCCACGATCATTGAACCAGGTTTTGGTGCTTTTGGCAGTGTGGGCAGGTACCAAGTCATGCTGGAAAATGAAGTCAGCATCCCCATAAAGCTCATCTGTGGAAGGAAGCATGAAGTGCTCCAAAATCTCCTGGTAGATGGCTGCGTTGACCCTGGACTTAATGAAGCACAGTGGACCAACACCAGCAGATGACATGGCTCCCCAAATCAACAAGATGGGAAACTTCACACTGGACTTCAAGCATCTTGCAGTGTGTGTCTCTCCATTCTTCCTCCAGACTCTGGGTCCTTGGTTTCCAAATGAGATGCAAAAGTTGCTCTCATCAGAAAAGAGGACTGTGGACCACTGAGCAACAGACCAGTTCTGTTTTTCAGATGCTTCTGACGTTGCTTGACAAGAGGAATACGACATTTGAAGCCCTTGTCCAGGATCTGTCTGTGTGTGGTGGCTTTTGATGCACTGACTCCAGCCTCAGTCCACTCCTTGTGAAAATCCCCAACACTTTTGAATGGCCTTTTCCTGACAATCCTCTCCAGGCTGCTGTTATCCCTGCTGCTTGTGCACCTTTTTCTTCCACACTTTTCCCTTCCACATACCTTTCTATTAATGTGCTTTGATACAGCACTTTGGGAACATCTAACTTCTTTTGCAATTACCTTTTGAGGCTTTCCCTCCTTATGGAAGGTGTCAATGATGGTTTTCTGCACAACTGTCAGGTCAGCAGTCTTTCCCAGGATTGTGATTTCTACTGAACCAGACTGAGAGACCATTTAAAGGCTCAGGAACCCTTTGCAGGTGTTATGGCTTAATTAGCTGATTAGAGTGGGACACTTTGAGCCTAGAATATTGAACTTTTTCACAATATTCTAATTTGCTGAGATTGTGGATTTGGGGTTTTCATGAGCTGTACGCCATAATCATCTCAATTAAGACAGATCTTTGCATGTAATGAGTCTATCTCATATATTAGTTTCACCTTTTAAGTTGCATTACTGAAATAAATGAACGTTTGCATGATATTCTAATTTTTCGAGTTTCACCTGTACAAACAGGTGTATTACTTACAACTGCTCATTTAGTGATTGTTCCAAGTTACAGTGGCATTGGAAAAAGTGACTTTTTTCACACTTAACACCTGTTGCAGCATCCCCATGGTTGTGTGATCAAAATTCAGACGTTTCGCAATTGACTCATATTTATGATGGTTGCAGTGCCCCAAGGACATGTGATTACCTTTTGTAACCTTCTGACATGCAGTTAATGGGGAAGCCAGATTCACCTAAAACTGGGTTACAAACCTACCAACTGCACTGATTCACTTAACAACTATGGCAAGAAAGGTTGTAAAATGGGGCAAAATTCACTTAACAACTATCTTGCTTAGTAACACAAATTTTGGACTCAATTGTGGTTGTACATCAAGTACTACCTGTAATATATCAACAACCTATCTGTTTTCAAGACTGATATATCCTAGGCATAATGATCTGCATAATTCTCTATCTCATTTGCAATACTTTTATTTGTAAAAATTGAGCTTGGGCATGTTGTGAGGATGGCTAATGGGAGGATTCTAAAAGACCTCCTGTATGGAGAATTAGTGCAAGGAAAGTATGTTAGAGGGAGACCACAGCTGTGATATAAGGATATCTGCAAGAGAGATCTAAAGGCCTTGGGAATGGACATTAGCATCTAGGAAACCTTGACCTCTGATTGTTTAGCTTGGAGGCTAAAGATGCAGCATGGCCTTCTCCAATTCGAAGAGACACTTGTTCGGCAGGTTGAGGCAAAGAGGCAGCCCCGGAACCAACGAAATCTGGGGGTTGGACAGGGGACAGACTGTATCTGTCCTCAGTGTAGAAGGGATTGCCACTCTCGGATTGGCCTTTTTAGCCACACTAGATGCTGTTTTAGAACCTCTATTCAGAGCATGATACCATAGTCTTTTGAGACTGAAAGATGCCAATATTTATGAAAATGCTTAGGCTGCCATACTATTCTGTGACTCAACAGCATCCTTTTCAAAGCATTTCAGATTAATGCAAGTGGTCCTTGCCTGTTGGGATTTTAGATGTTGTCTAGTCTTTGTAGAACCTCAGAACCATGGCAGAATTTTGAGTTGTGTAGCACTATAAACACTTTTTTGCACCTGGCCTTCCTTCTCTTTGGTCTGGCAGCTCTTATAGGGGGATTACACAGAGGCTTTGATTTTTCTTCCTTAAGCATTCACCTGAAGAGCCATTTTAAACTTTAAGGGAGTGGGATTGGAGGGCTTGTGCAAGCCCTTGGCATGCCTGCTCCACATTTCACCTGGGTGATAAATGATCCCAATTGAGCCTTCTCTTCCTATCCAATTGGCAGATGGAGAGTCTCAGTTGTGCGCCTATGCGGAGTCTAGACTGACAACTGGAAAACAATCCACTCATCTCTGCTGTGAAATCTAAATCTCTGTATCTCCCATCACCTATCCATAGAAATCAGTAAAAGCCTGCAACTTCTTTGTGTAAAAGAGTATTAAAAGGAATGTTCAGGAATAGTTATGCTTTATGAGGGAAGTGAGTAGTACTAAAAAATCAGGTAAGCTGGTGTATATACAACTTAGGTAGGTAAGCAGGTGGACAGGCTGACAGACAGGACTAACCAGGGGTCATTAAATTTTGAAGTTTTCAAATGCCATTTTTAATTTCTTTGCAGAGTTGGACAATGCTGGACAACAGAGTTTGAGGATCAAGACCATAAAGTTTCAGCCAGGTTTACTTTTAGTGAGAATTTCTATAGATTTAGGCTGCTTTGTCACATCTATGTGAACATATCCAATTTGATTCATGTTTGACTGAAAAAGAGGTGCATCCTTGTGAGTTCTGTCTGGCACTTCAGGGGCAAGGCTAGAGAATGAGTGAACAAGGGGGGACTAGAAGCCAGCAAAAGGACTGAAGTAAGGAACAGTGTTGCTGCCTGATTTTCCTTCCTAAATATTATGAGTATTATTTCTGCTCACTCCTCACTTTCCTGCTCTTTCTCACAGCAATCAAGATTGAAAATTTTAACAAACACAAAAGTGAAAAAGCCTGTTTCCTGTGACCTTCCACCTCCAGACAGAATTGTTTTCAAAAGTGGCAGGGCAAAAGGTAAGAATCATGGTTGATTAGATGTTTTGTTGCTGGAAATTTTTGAAAGGGTCTTTTTCTTTTTCTTGCTTCATTTTGCAGGTCTCTATGAATCTTAACTGTTTTTATTCCTCGTGATATTAGTGTTTCTTACAATAATCTAATCCTCAACCAAATGAAACTTGTTCATATCACCACCTGTCACCTGAACCAGATTGCTAGATGTTATGAATTAGTAGATTAGATTTTTATGCCATCTTTACAGTATCACTTTATAAATAAATCAAGGTGGCAAACATACATAATACTCCCTCCTATTTTCCCCACAACAACCTTTTGAAGTGGGTTGGGTTTAGAGAGAGTAATTGGCCCAAATTCACCCAGCTGGCTTAGCTTTCAGGAAGGCTATAATTGTTCCGCCATGTCTCTCAGACGCCCTGTTCATCTTCTAGGTACTTCAGTTGCTGAGCATCTTGAAAATATATCTCAAGATATTGCTGCCACAAAACCAAGACAGGATACAAAAACCAAACCTAGGACACGCTTTCCAGAAAACTGGATTTGGGATTTAGTACCTGTTGAGTAAGTAAATTCCAATCTTTGCTCAGGAGGAAAATAAACATTCTCATACAGGTATTCCTTATTTGATGTCCATTCAGTGACCATTTGAAGTTACAATGCCACTGAGTGAATGGTACTTGTATTGAGTCCTTATAGTTGTGGCCATCACAGTACCCCTGCGGTCACATTATTACAATTCAGTTGCTTGACAACAAGCTTACAATTATGTGGCAATGTCACACAGTCATATGATTGCCATTTGTAACCCACACTGTCAGTTTCTTACAAAGGTCAGCAGCTTGCAAATGGAGATCATGTGACTGGGATGCTGCAACCTCACTGGATTCACTTAGCAACAGCAGCTGGGCTTGCTGGAACTGCCATTGTAAATTAATACTGTACCTTAGGACTGCATCACTTAGTGATGGAATTCTCAGTTCCAGTTATTGATGACGTATGCGGACTACCTATAATAGTAGTGACCTAACTTGCCTTGTTTTTCAGTGACAAGAGTTAATTACTGTTGGCATTCTGCAATTTAAGAACCAAACAATTTCTCAGGTGTCCCAGTTTTGTTTCTGACAACATAAAAATTATAGAATTATTTGTAGAAATGATTATAAACCTCTTGTTTTTTTGCTGAAAATAAGAGGATAATTGGAAGAGGGACAGAAATCTAAATATAATAAAAAAAACAGGCCTCCAAATATAGTTCTGATAGGAATATGTTTTTATCTTCATTGCCTTTTTATCCTTCATTTATTTCACTGAGATATTTTAAATGATTATCTCTATAAATCTTTCAGTTGTTGATAAGTTGAGAGACATTATAGTTTTCCATCTTTGTAAAACTCCTCAGTTATAGCTACATGTAATTTCTAAAAATATAACTTATTTATTGCCCCTTCCTTTTTTCAGTTCTTGTTGGGTTATTCTGTAATTAACAATGCTTTTGTGGAAAAGGTTAAAAACCCAGGAAAATTACAAAGTACAATAAACTATCCAATAAAGAAAAAATATTTTACCAAAAAACACATTACAGGTCCTTGACTTATGACCAGAATTGAGCCAAAAATTTATGTTGCTAAGTGAAACATTTGTTAGGGGAATTTTACTTCATTTTATGACCTTTCTTGCCACAATGGTTAAGTGAATCATTACAGTTTAGTAACATGGTTGTTAAGTGAATCTGGTTTCCCCATTGATTTTGTTTGTCAGAAGGTTGCAGAAGCTGAAGGCCCCTTCTGCAAGCATTGTAAATATGAATCAGTAGCCAAACATCTGAATTTTGATCATGTGGCCACAGGGTTGTTACAATGGTCATAAGTGTGAAAATGGTCATAAGTCCATTTTTTTCAGGGCCGTTGTAATTTTGAATAGTCATTAAACGAACTGTATGTCGAAAGCTACCTGTAAGTCCTTGAAATAATCTTGAGTATTTGGCAACAAAATTTAAAAGAGAGCATTTTAGTTGCAAAAAACAATGAATGACACCCTTGTTCCTAATTTTTTTTTAACCTCAAGGACAAACAAATAGGTGGATGCTGACTGCTACTGCTCAACTAACTTGCAGAAAGATAGGTAAAAGGATTTTTTTTAAAATAGAAAGCATAATTGAAAACTTAGTTTCAGGTACTAACTGTTCACAAAAAGAACAGAACTCTCTCATCAACATTCATTCTTCAATTAGCAATAATCATCAGTCCAGCCAACCATTGCATTTTCATTGCTGCCGTGTGGTTATTTTAAAAATATTTCCCAACATTGAATCTATTTGTTAACATAAGAATAGCAAAACATTTTATGTTACTTATACATATCAGTGCATGAACAGTGTGGTACCTGTGTATCATACATTTAGTACAGATAAATGTAATGTTGTAACTCATATTTATTACATTTCATTTTCAATGTTTCATATTATTTAAACATATCTATTACTACCACCATTCAATTTCTAGACCTCCTGCTTGTTATTGCATAGATCTTGTTATATTAAAATATGTATATTGTTGTTCCCCTATTATTTCTATTTTTATTCTTTTCTTATTTTTCCATTGGTTCATTTAAGCGCACGTAACATTTCTTTTCACCATGATTTATTATCCCTTATCTTATATTTGATATTTTAAAAATTACACATTTTTCCACCATCCTTTCAATATCCCAAATATCCAATTAGTAGGATATCCAAATATCCTACTAATCAGTCCAGATATTAACGCTGAATAATATTCAATCGATCCGGGATTACATCTCCAACTCCCCAAAATTTCTAATCCTTAAAAGTTTGAAATTCACAATATATTTTAACACATTGTTAATATTAATAGTACAATTAAATTCCCATATCCTACACTTCCATCATCTACCCTTAACTTATTTTAAAACAAAGTAAATTCTATTTTTCTATTAGCATATATGCTACTGTTTTCCTTATTTATATAAGTAATATAAAATAAAAAACTTGATATAAAAAAAGAATAGCAAAACAAAAGAAGCATCATTCCCCTATTGCTAGTATTTAGCCAGGCTCGGCATATAAGTCAACATTTAAATCACTAATAGTTTTGTATGTGCCCCTTGACACATACAAGGAGCATGTACACATACAAGGAGCATGTATCAACAGGAGCATGTACAGACTTTATATATAAATATTCAGAAAACCAACCAACTAAACAGAATTTTGTTTATCTGTTTAAATTAACTTGGAAAGTTTCATATGACCATATACAAGAGCATACATACTTTTTTTTTAAACAAACTTTATTAATTTTTTTAACACACACAAACAAAACATAGGATGTAGTAACATAAAATATCTTTTCTAGAAGAAACAAATAAACCATCTTATTTGAAAAGAAGATAATTCCAAATTATCACACTTCTATATATATATTTATCTTATCTAATCAACTTCATATCTTTTCAAAACTTTTCTTTATTACTCCCTTTCCTTCTATTTAATCATATTTCTTCTGCCTTAAAAATATATATTGAATATATTTTCATTAGTATTCTTCCACATCCTGTCAGACTTAAACAAACATTACACAAAACATAAATACATAAAACTTCTTTTTGGAAGGTGGCTTACCCCGAGTTAACTCTTTTTATACAGACATCAATCAAAATTTATACTCACTTAATATACTATCTCATATCTTATTTAGCATTCTCTAATTTTCCATATATTTTCTCTCTCCTACTCATTCTTTTAATTCTGTTTTATTTATTCCATCTCAATTAAATAATTATATTTGCATCTTTGGTCCATTTTCTTTCAATCACCTACTTATCCTTTCTATCTAATACAATATTTCTCCTGTAAACCCAAATTGAAGTATGACAACTTTTTATCTTCCCCCTAAATAACACTTAAAATAAAACATATTTTCCGTGCTGATTCTGCTCCGTACATTCAAAGTATTACATTTCAAAATAATAAAACAAACAAATAATATTGAGTTTGATAAATAATAATAAAACTAAAAACAAGTAAAAAAGAAATATTAAATTTATAATATAATAAAAACAATGTTTCATAGGAAATTAAATTCTATTATTAATTCTTAAACAATAAAGATAATATTTCATAAGAAATTAAACTCTATAATTAAATCATGGCTTCCCTTTAATACATTTTTAAATCATATAATATTCTAATTTTCTAACTCAGCTTCAAATACTAATATCTACAATGCATTCTTATGTACTTTTGCAGAATCATTTTTAAAAAATTATCTCACCCCTTATCTCTGAAAAAAAAATCGTTTTTTAGTATCTTGTTTAAAGCCTTTATGACTTCTCTTTACTTTTCCCCTTTCTTTCTTCTCCATTCTAACTTTTTGACCCCCCCATCTCTCCAATTTCACTCTCTTAGTCTTCCCTCTCTGTTGTATTTCTCTTTTCTGTTGCTTTCTGACATCATATCGCTTTTTCATCTCATTTTTCTTTTTCTTGGTTGCTTTTTTAAGTTCTAAGTTCATCTTTTCCTTGCCCCCCTTCCGCTTTTCTTCCTCCACTAAGTGCGTTTGTCCATTAAAGATGGCTTCTTCTCCTTCATCCCAGTCTTCCTGTCGTCGTATTTCTTGATAGGTAGAAATCGCCATTTCCAAAAAATGAAAGATAGATCCAGAAGAGCCCTTATCTTCTTTTTTCACTCTTTGAAATTCCATTTGTAATCCTTCAAAAGATAATGCCATTTTTTCTTTCTTTCTTTTTTAACGCAACCCTAATGTCTTTAATCCCTTTTTTTTAACAAGCTTTCACAGAAATCTCAAAGTCACAAAGCAAACCAAATCAGAGCAAACAGTTTCATTTAGCACTTTCTTCTTTCTATCTTTTCACCTCCTTTTATCTTCCTCACTGATGCAAACTCGATAGTATGTTTCTGAGGTCTAATTTGGTGAAGACTTTCCCTTTCCCCTTCATGAGTGAGAGGGGATATAGGTTGTGTACACACAGTCCATTGATGGCCCTAAAGTCAATGCACAATCTAATGGTACCAACTTTTTTTTCTTTGAACAGGACTGGGGCTGCGACCCGTGGTTGGTCGGTTCAATGAAACCCCTTTTTAAGTTTTTGTCTATATAGTTGCACATTTCTTGCATTTCATGGGGCGTCATGGCATACATTTTGGGCTTTGGTAACTGTCATGCCCCTGGTGAAGACTGACTCTGAAGAAGAGGAGGAACAGCCAACAGGGAGTGGAAGTGTGGCTCCAGAGGTGGTGGAGGAGGCTGGGGAAGGGCAGGGGCTGGCTGAGCAGTCAGAGGAGGACCCCGTTCCATCCCCTATCCATCCTAGGGCACACAGGGAGGAGAGGATCAGGGTAAAACGTGGTCTACTTGGGAGGAGAGAGCCATGATCCTGTTCATGGGTTGCAGGTGTGAGATTTGCATAAGAGTTTGGACCTGCGTGCTAACAGATGCTGGAGACAAATTAGTGTTTTATTCCTAAAGAAGGTTTATCTTGGTTGGCGTTCTTCCATTGGACTGTACCTGGTTATCTTCCTG